TTATTCATAAATCGTGATGAGGCCTCGTATCCTAGGAAACGGGGAAAAACGCGGGAAAATTGACAAAATGTTTTTTTTGCTGTCGGCTATGGCAGCTTTTTTTCGTGAATATTACGGCTTTTTTCGAAAATAATATCTATAAAACTGATCTTGAAAGTTGAAAAAATACTTCTGAAAGGAAAAAATACTTCGAAAAAGGAAACCTTGACTTTGTATTTATATTGCCAAGTTTGTATGGGCAAAACAAACAACCAACACGGCTACAAAACATCTATACAACACCAAAATCGTAGGAAATACGAAACTATTGTTGAAGAAATAGGATTATAACTCACTCAGGTAATGTAGCCTTCATTTTTTAAACTTGTAAGCTGCTTGCAGAATGTTTATATCGAACCACAGGCACAGCCATAGTTCATATTTTTCCGTACGAATCAATAACATTTGACGTTCTCTTGTGATTTTTGACCTGTTGTTTTCTTTCATATTTATGTCAAATTCGAAAAATTATACTTCCATTCCATAGTTGTCTTGATTCTTCACGGAATAACCTTTATATTGACGTTAAAATCTCAGTAAAATGCTGTTTTTCGCTTCTGGATAAACACCATCGCTATACGTTGTCATTTTTTCCACACAAAAACGGGAGAAAAACCGGTCGCTTTTATAATATACTCGTTTACCGCTTTCGTTGTGGGCACAAAGTCTTAAAATACACACAAATATCGTTATAAATCGCAAAAAGCAACAAGAAACAAGCCGTTAAAGTCGGCACAATAGCATCTGAATTTGGATTGTCAAGCAGTTTTCGCTTGTTTTCCCGCGTTTTGTTCCCGTATCCTAGGATACGAGGCCTCGTCACGATTTATGAATAAGGTCATCTCAATGAAATTTTCAGTGTTCTGGATCATTTTCATTACTTTGTGAAGAGTTTATTTTCTTTGATTTATATACATTTTTAGATTTGATTTGTCTTCATGTGATAAAATAAGAACATGAAATGCTAGCCTAAAGGCTAAACAAATTCTTATTTAGGGTGTCTATTTGACTAAATAAAACTTTAGCTTCACATGTTTTTAAATTGTAGGTTCTTATATATGCAAGCTTTTGGTCAGAATTATAGGGTGAAAAAATATACTAGTAATTATTAATTGAGTTTGTTTACATAATATAAGTTTCTGTGATCAAAATGTTTTATAAACTAATTAAATGTCTTAGGCGGTGTCTATATGGAGGCGAGCCAGCCCGGTTACCTGAGCTAATTTAATTTAATTTTTAAACGTCAATTTTTAAACCTTATACACCAAAGTGTGTTTAGTTAATCCAACTACGAATCAAATTTTATAATCGCTGACTTTTTAACAGCTATCAGCACCAAAAAATTCTTACTTTTGCTGAATTAACGTCGGCAAATATTTGCCGGCCTGGGAGATTGACATGTCGGCATTTAGGTCGGCATTTAGGTCGGAATTGCCAAATGCGTTTTCGAGGGCTGTAAGCTGCTTTGATTAAAATATACTTTGATCAGAGAAACTTTTTATGTGTTTCTATTAAGTGAGCACAAGTTGTCCATGAGAAGACAGTCAAGACAGTAAAGCACGGTCAAGTAGATTAATTTATATCATTTATCACTCTGACAATAAACACTATACAGGGTGTCTCAAAAAACCCCAAAATCATTGAAATTGACGTATTGTTCGGTATTCAATGCCCTAGCACTAAGTTAATCCCACGAGTGCATAAAAGATGGACATAACTGCTATAATGAATGGTAATACTCAGCGTAAACTTGTTATGTCAGGCATAAAGTACTAAACCCACGAATGCATATTATGCATATTACAATTTACGAAGCATTTTTAAATTCCCATGAGCAAACAAACGTTCACTTTACAAAGATATTTTAATTTTTTAAAACAAATTAATCACCCTGTCAAAATCCTTTGTGTTACGGCATTGAAATTCGAACAATACGTTATTTCAATGATTTTGGTTTTTTTTGAGACACCCTGTATAAATAGGCATCCAAAACATGTTGACTCCAAATTGCTCATTAACACTTTTTCATTGACAACTCCTACTCACGAGTATCATATCTTTAGGCCTTAATTATATGGGTTTCAGTTTGTATAAATAAAAGAGAGAACAGTTCGTGTGTAACGATAGTGTATAGTTTAAAGTTAGAATAGTAAATAAAGAGAATTTTATAGTCATTAAAACCTCGATTGATGTGCTTCAATTAACAAGCGATTTCACTGAAGTATCCACATGCAGTGAAGGGAGTGAATAGCAGCTATGTTGGGTGAAATGTCCAATCCTTCTTGGATTCTTTTCTTGAAAACCTTTAGTAGAAGATTCAGGTATATCATGGAGAAACGCAGACAGAAATGGCACGCTCTCCATCGAGGAAAACAATAAAATAGATACACTTTGATACACTTTGGAAGCATCCCTGCTAGCGTGGTATTCTTTCCTACTCGTCCTGTTGCCTCAAAAACTCGTTATTTGAAGGATTATCGCTCAAAAAAGCTCAATATATTTTGGAAACTTTTAGCTTCACTCTTTCGCTTGCGAAAAAAACAACGCCAGAAATGAGACTGGACCGAGTATAAACCGAGATGCCCAACTTCCGGTGGAGTCCCCAGGCAAAAACAATCACAGATATGCGCAGAAGGGACTGCAACCTACCTTTAAATTAAGACAACAGAACTCAGAAGACGCAGAAAATTTGATATAATACAATGGCTTAGAAAGCAAAATATTAGTTTAAAAATGTAGTAAGGTTTGAAAGAGACTTTAATATCAATACGTTAGTTTATATACACGTGGCCCCGTCATTAGTAATAGTTAATATTAATAACAGTTAATCTTAATTGAATCACATTACATCTCCCTTTTCTTAAAGATATGAAATCAAGGAATAATACCCCGTTTAAATATCCTCGATCCATATTTATCAACCATTTATTAATTACATCCAGCATTGCTGTTTCCGTTGAAAATTTTTTCCTGAAACCAGATTGCTGGGAGGCAAGTATTGCATTATTTTTCAAATACTCGCACAATTGCACTAATATTAGTTTCTCGAAAATGTTGGCAATAGTTGACAGAACTGAAATAGGTCTATAGTTGCTACATTCTGTTTGTGGCTTCCACTTTTATATAATGGAGATATTATTGCAGTTTTTAAACCATTTGGAAAAATACCTGTATTGACTGGTTAAAAATATGAGTTAAAATTGGAGCAATAATTACTACCGAATCTTGCAAAAGCTTTGGAGGTATTTTATCATGTCCGCAAGCTTTGGATATCTTCAATGTAATGGGCAACTGAACTACATCTACCTCTGACACATTTTGTATTTGAAAAGTTGAATTACTAGGAGTAACATATGATTCAGGTGCATCGGTAGTGTCTGGTAGTTCGTTAGCAAAATTTTCTCCAATTGTCTTGAAATAGGTATTAAAAGTGTGTGATATCTTATTTGGATCTTCAGTAACATCATCATTTGATATGTTAAGCTTGGTGATCGTAGTTGTCTTAGATTTTTTATTTGTTAATTTATTAATTGTGTTCCACATATTCTTTGGATTATTTTTCGTATCATTTAGAACACTCGTATAATAATTCCTTTTTGTGTCTTTAGTAAGTTTATTCGGGTTCTTTTATATGCGACAAACATGTTTTCAGATCCTGAGTTAATTGCTTTTTTCTTAAAAAAATCTCGATGATAAATCTGTTTCTTAATATTGTTTGCCATCCATGGAGTGTACTCGCTTTTAACCTTTCTTGTAATTTGAGGTGCATGAATGTCGGCAACAAACAAAAATCTTGTTTTAAATCTTCCCAGAGTGCATCTGGGTTGTTATCATTTATCGTATGTTGCAGAATATCCCGAAGCTCTGTAAGAAACACATTTTTATCATAATGTTTAAATTGGCGCTAGCGGATAATTTTTGGTTCATTACGTGGATGGATATTTTTCGACATACGTAGATTAAACTGGGGTCACTTATGCCAAGGTGATCTACACCCGACATCGTGATGGGTTCTGGTTTGTTACCTAATGCAAGGTCAATCAGTGTCTTAGAGGCTGCCGTTACCCGAGTGGGTTCCTTAATCATTTGCTCAAATTGATAAATACTCGCTAGAGTGGCCATTCTAACCGTATGAGAGGCGGCATTATTATTGGATAACTTGCTCCGATCACAATTAAAGTCCCCCATAAGAATAGTCTCTTTGTTCTCTAAGTCCATATTTATAATACATTCTTCATACCATTCGAAACATTCAATAGAAGCATCTGGTAGGCGAAGAATGCCCACCACCATTTCGGTTTCTATCTTTTCTAACTATATCATAGCCACTTATGTTAATTTCATAATTAGATATTGTACTGTCAAGCATATAGTTTCGTTTATACAGTACTTAGTATGTTATACTTTTGAATCATATCCGTACACAATTTAGTAAAGTTCTTGCTTCTGCTTATCCACATATTTCCATACGTGTTGTTTTCCGTCCTTCTTGTCGCCTTTCTAGTTTCTTTCCATTTAAAGACAGGATTCCCATTGTCCTGAGATCACATGTTGTGTATCAACGTGTCAATGCTGTAGTGCATTGTATGTTGGCCAAACACGCCGACACATTCACACACGTATCTCAGAGCATATGGCAGTCTCGCCTTTGACTGGAAAAGAACGCTCTATCTCAACCATGTCTAGTATACTCGCTCACAAACACATGCACAAACACCTAGTCTCCACTTCTGATTTCAAAGTTCTATCATCAGGCACTTCTGAGTGGGATCTTAATTCTTATCCGTGAAAGCCTATTACTTTCTCAACTTAACCCCGTCCTTAATGCTAATATTAGATCTACCCCTCTTGAGTTCTTCTAGTTACTATGTATATTAACCTTAACTGTACTAACCATGCACTTAACATTATTCTTTACTTATTAACTAGTTACTGATAAGTTGTTTTCCTTTCTTTCTATTCATTTGTTCTTTCAAATTATGCCAACCAATTATTTATATTTAGACTATATGCATATATAGGCTTATAGCAAAAATATTTTTTGAGTTAGTATGCATGGCAGTAAGGATGGAACTAGAATATTATGGTTTATTTATCTCTTCTATTAAATATTATCGAAAAATCTTAATAACATACTGACCGAGAGTGACGGCAGTACCGCAATATATCCATGCGAGGGCAAGGTAGAAAGTCCGAAACATTTGAAAAAAAAGACAATTGTAAAAAATGTTCTCTAGCTTTGTCAGTAAAACTACTCTATTACTATAGCAATTTTTATATAGAATACTAAGACAGTTTGGATAGTATTTCAAGAAAAATGCGAGGTATTTTGTCATTTAATCAAGGACAACAAATATGAAAACAATTAAATTAATATCGGTATGGACAAGTTATTTGACAAGTACGTTTTTAGTTCGCCTCATATTTATGTCTCTTTTTATCTAACAAAAACAGAAATTTTAAGGAAAAAATTATAAATCTGTGGCTGCTTTAGTTGTATTTTTTATTTAGGATGGTGTCAAATTCCTTCTGGCTATCTGCAAATAAAATTTGCAGCTCCTCACATAGTCAAAACACAACTATATTCTGACTGCTTTAATAGTTATAAACACTGCAAAATTTACCCTTGTAATTTTGACTTTCGCTAACAAAAAAACTAATTGAGAAAGTTCTTTAATTAACCACAGCAATTGCTCCTTTTCTTTAATTTTATTTTAGGTTTATTTTTCCTCGTTTTGAATAGTTTGAAAGACTATTAGACACTTTTTGCCGTTTAAAACTCCGTTCTCGTCGCAGGGCAATAAAAATTGCGTATTGCCCGTGGGCAATACGGGAAAATCCTGCCTCGTCAGCAGCTAATCAACAAAACAAATGCTTGCGATATAATAAAATAATTTATTGTATATAACTAGTGATGTTCTGTATACATTGCTCCCTCTGTGAATTATTAACATCCTTATACCCTTCCCGACATGTCCCACCGCCTATAGTAAGATATGTACACTTAACGTTATCATTAACTTTTTCCCTGTTTTGTTTCATGCATGCATGTAGCTATATATAATTATTTAAAAATATCATGTTATTGTCAACAAATCAGACCACAGCGGGGCGCAGGCTTACTTAGTAATATTTATATTTAAATCGTACCTGTTTCTGACATAATTAAAGAACCAGGACTGTAGCATGATTATTTAGTAAACATGCATATATACGCGTAGGTACGTAGGTAGGTAAACTTTATTTAAAACAACCCGCTAGCCTCGTCAATTTTCGCTGCATTTAAAACTTTATACATTTGAATTGCTTTTGACTTGGTTCGTTGAGACTCAAGAGTTTCCCACTTTAAAGCAGAAATTGCTTCTAATCCAGGGGTATCATTTTTCATACTCATTATTATCCTTGGAGCTCTATTCTGAAATTTTTGAAGTCGAGTTGAAAAACCAATGCCCAGGAATTGGTTTCTCTATCCACAAAATCTCGGATTCTTCTTATTGCCCCTATGCCGGAAGTAGCCTTTTTGGATACGTTTTCAACATGCTTGTTTCAAGACAATCTTTCATCAATTTCAACCCCAAGTAGTCCACTATGCTGAACTTGCTTAATTTTGTCTTGATCTATTTTTATATTCGGCTGTTTGGTCTTATATTCGGCTGTTTTTATATTCGGCTGGTATTGTCTAATCTAGTTTCATTTAAAGCGAATAAATCAAAATTCGAAAAGAGTTTAGATATGCGTAGTTCATCAACATGTTTGGGTAAGCTGGCTATATTAAGTAAGGCCATTTTAAACCCCCTAGTATTTGCACAATTAGGAAAAGTGCCAGACATGATTCTTGAGAATTAATTAGCGCTCACATTTTCACATAGTCAATTTTTAAGTAATAATTTAAAATTGTTTTGTAATAACAAACTACCAGAAGGATTTAAGTGTAAACCTCTGGAATTGATTTATTGACAAGGTTATTCCTACATGTATGTCGTCATTTTTATTTTTTAAATTTTCTTCTTTTTTCCCGTAATCGTAGAGGTTTAAAATACGTAGACAGTCCGCCATCATCGTCTCGCTTCTTTTTTAATTTTAAATCATCGCTTTCTCCTATTAAAAATATAAACATAAAACGCATTAGTCATTGATTTGATAGTTGAAATTTGTTGTTCAGCTGCATGTTGGGTGTTTTGTTTATGTGTTATTGTTGTTTTATTATACTTACTTTCATTAATTTACTTTTTGGTTTGATATAATAATTATAATATAATAAATTAATATATTTTTTATCATCATAATATTTTAATTCATGATCATGCCATCTTCATTCGTTTGTTTGAGCAACTATATACATGACTGAACAATTAAGCCAACATAACGGAATTCATTATTTTAGCCCCTCTTTCTAGTAATACAATAGGCCTATAGTGAGTTAATTTTAATTAAAAAGTTAAAGTTTAATATTTAAATAAACCCAAATTTTGTTTTGGCTTGTTTAAAATGCATGCATTCTGAAATTGTTTAAAAAAGAAAAATATACACGTCTTCAAATGAAAGACAAAAGTCCTGTCATGACCTGTTTCTGTTAAAGATCGTTGGCAATAACTATACGCTACACGTTCATTTAGTTAATTTTTTAAAGGTATACGTAGGCCTACGGTTTAAAACTAGAATAACAGTATAGGTATATACGCTATAATTTGGATTCTTGCACTTCACTTGGTGGAATTAATATTAGAATGTTAGGGTTTGTAATCCAAGTGAGAACATACTGTATACATTTTAAGACCTAACCAGGAACGACTGCGAAAATGTAGCACAAAGTCCTCTGGTAGGAATTGAACCTACGGTCCTACCAGAGGACCTTGTGCTGCATTTTTTGCAGTCGTTCCTGGTTATAGGTCTTAAAATGTATATATTCTCACTTGGATTACAAACCCTAACATTCTAATATTAATTCCACCAAGTGAAGTGCAAGAATCCAAATTATTGAAGTCCGCCTTATCACAACCCGCACACCCGATTACCTATATATACATGAACTTACGGTTACAGTTCAACAGCTGGCCTCTGTAGCTCAGTTGGTTAGAGCGCTGCACCAGAATCGCAGGGCCGTGGGTTCAATTCCTACCAGAGGACCTTGTGTTGCATTTTTCGCAGTCGTTCCTGGTTAGGTCTTAAAATGTATATATTCTCACTTGGATTACATTCTAGTATATACGCTATACATGCAGTCAGCCGCCTTGTACTGTCACCGCGTCAATCAGCGCTAACCGTTTTTAAAAACCGGTTGTATAAATCAAAATGTATATATTAAAGGAATACCGAATGGTTTTCCGTGCAGGATTGTGTGATCCATGCACGAGGGATGTCGCGAGACTTTCGGAAAGCGTAAAAATACTCGAGCCGCAGGCGAGTGTATTTTTACGCTTTCCGAAAGTCGAGCAACATCCCAAGTGCATGGATCACGCTATCCTGCTTGGAAAACCATTTGGTAATTGTTTTATAAAATAACTACAGTGAAACAATGACATTTTGAGAATCCCGCAAAAATCCCGCGAAGGCATTTTAATTCCTCGTGCAGGATAGCCTGATCCTGCACGGCTATTGACCAATCAAATTGCGTGTTTCACTGTAGTTATTATATAAACCTTTATCATCTCCTTCACCATTGTTTTGTCCATTTGTTTGGCCTGCATGTTTTTCCATCTCTATAAATTAAAAAGAAAAATGGGTGAATCAACACGTTTCACAATAGGCCTACTATAATCGTTTATGAAACGTTACTTATTATATAATTTTTCCATAAGCTCCATTATATGTACCTTTATTATCTTTTTTGTTTTGGGATTTACCATCTCTACTAAAAAGAAAAATGAATAAATCAACACGTTTTCACAATAGTAAAATAGTATATGAAACTTTAACTTTGTGAGGTTTCCCTGCATGCATGCATGAGTTTCATTATATATACCTTTATCATCTCCTTTGTCTTGGGCTTTTCCCTCTGTTTTGAAGGCCTTGCAGCATTTACCATCTCTACTAAAAGGAAAAATGAAAAAATAGATAAATAAATTCGTTTCGCTTCAATCGAGGTGAAACTTCAGACCGGACTGAAACCTCTGGCACACAACAGCAAAATTCAGAAATTTGACGACACAAAATTACGAATTGATATTAACCTTTAACTTCCCCATTCTCTCCATTGACAACCTATACACTTTATATCTCTCCATAAATATAGTATGTAAATAAAAAAACACAAAAATAATGTAATATAGTTTTGTTGCAATGTACAAGGTTTCTATTATACCTGATCCTAACTGACTATTTAATTAAATGTTATTTCTGATAAAACCACCATGTTTAAATAAAATGTGTCTATATAATTATAGAGGGCAAAAGATATAGCTATGGATTGTTATAGATAGCTATCGAGTGTTATATAGGGTATCTAAAAAACACAGTATGGAAAGTCAACAGGCTGTGATGCATAATATTATTTAGCTTTCCAATGATGCTCTTTTTAAGTCGTAACGATGAGAAATGCCACATACTCGTCAGATAACACATGCCGGTCGAAATCACATTCTTTCACCGTTGGGAATTGCAGGGAAAACGAAACAGACAATTCCTAAGAGGGAATTAGAGTTGAACGTTAAATTATCTAAGATGATCTCAACTCGTCAATAAAAATAAAATTTAGACAGTAAAAAAGGCCATTATTGCTTTAAACATGCATGGTTCAATTAAAAATGAACAGAGAACATTCGCAATCAAAACGTTTTACGAAACAAATAGCTTGCAACAAGCTCGCGTTGCTTTTGGATTGATTAACTTTGCATTATTAATGTATTTCCCAACGGTGGGAAACGATGGAGTGTTATAGATAGTAGATGCCTATGGAGTGTTATAGATAGCTATGGAGCGTTATAGATGGCTACGGAGTGTTATAGATTGCTATGGAGTGTTATAGATAACTATGCAGCGTAATAGATACCTATGGAGTGTTATAGATACCTCTGGAGTGTTATACATGTAGATACCAGTGGAGTGTTATAGACAGCTATGGAGCGTTATAGATGCTTATGGAGTGTTATAGATAGCTATGGAGCGTTATAGATACCAGTGGAGTGTTATAGATACATATGGAGTATTATGGAAATCAATGGAATGTTGTAGATACCTATGTAGTGTTATGGATATCTATGGAGTGTTATAGTTACCATTGGAGTGTTATGGGTACCTGTGGTGTGTTATAGATAGTTATGGAGTGTTATGGATACCTGTGGAGTGTTATAGATAGATATGGAGTGTTATGGATACCAGTGGAGTGTTATAGATAGCTATAGAGTGTTATGGACACCAGTGGATTGTTATGGATGGCTATGGAGTGTTATGGATACCAGAGGAGTGTTATAGATACCTATGGAGTGTTATGGATATCAGTGGAGTGTTGTAGATACCTATGGAATGTTATAGTTACCTATGGAGTGTTATGGGTACCTGTGGTGTGTTATAGATAGTTATGGAGTGTTATGTATATCTGTGGAGTGTTATAGATAGATATGGAGTGTATGGATACCAGTGGAGTGTTATAGATAGCTATGGAGTGTTATGGACACCAGTGGAGTGTTATAGATAGCAATGGAGTGTTATGGATACCAGAGGAGTGTTATAGATACCTATGGGGTGTTATAGATAACTATGGAGTGTTATGGATACCAGTGGAATGTTATAGATACCTATGGAGTGTTATGGATATCAGTGGAGTGTTGTAGATACCTATGGAATGTTATAGTTACCTATGGAGTGTTATGGGTACCTGTGGTGTGTTATAGATAGTTATGGAGTGTTATGTATATCTGTGGAGTGTTATAGATAGATATGGAGTGTATGGATACCAGTGGAGTGTTATAGATAGCTATGGAGTGTTATGGACACCAGTGGAGTGTTATAGATAGCAATGGAGTGTTATGGATACCAGAGGAGTGTTATAGATACCTATGGGGTGTTATAGATAACTATGGAGTGTTATGGATACCAGTGGAATGTTATAGATACCTATGGAGTGTTATGGATATCAGTGGAGTGTTGTAGATACCTATGGAATGTTATAGTTACCTATGGAGTGTTATGGGTACCTGTGG